AGTAAGTTGTCATCCCTAGCATGATGCTAGAAATGTGTTGTTGGTAATTATAAATGACACTTGAAAACTTAGAGGAAAATTATATATATATTAAAGTATCCACAAGAGCACAGATAATATACCATTGTAGCATTTCACCTGAGAGTATGCCATGTATCGTTATTTATATTTTATCCATAGGGAGGAGCTATGGAGTTGTGTTGGCATAGAGATATTAACAAATATATATACTTATGATAAAACCACTCTCATGCTATGGCAGGGGTAAGTCAAATGATAAATGAATAAGTGTAAGGTAATAATGGTATTCTAGAGATAGAAAAAGAGACTCATAAAATGTAGTATGGCTAAGCAGGAGATTCGTTAAGAGCAAAAGATTCCTAAGTCATTCCTTATTTACTAAGTCTTTTGTACACCCAAGTATATACACTCTCATCTATAGCATAACTAACTTTGGATATATGCATAAGGAACATTACTAAGGAAGATCAAGAACAAAGCTTATCTTCCTTTGCAACCACGTTCTACTTGCTCTACAAACGGGGAGTGGACTACAAAGGACTCAACGGGAGTGTCACATCCACGATCTACCACATGACCCAGAGTGTAGAATGCATCCGCAGGCAAACAATATCTAAGCACCATGCTTACATAGTGTTGACCACTTAACTCACTCGAGTACTAAGCTAAGAGCTTTGCGAACATATGCATAAATTCATCATCAATCAATACTATATTAAGCATATAACTAGAGCAAACTAGGAACATAATAAATAGCAACATAATATTGAAGTAGAACAAAGTCATAAATTTAGAGATACAATGGCTATACCACTCTCTAGACGGTAGATCTAGAATCCTGAGCAATAGCCCACACTGTACTCGAACCTTGCTAGCTAGCCTATACTAGAACTTGAAGAATTGGAGCTCTATTCTCTTCTCTCTGGAAACCCTAATTTTCGATCTGATCTTGACTTATGGTAGCATGCTCTGGAGGGGGGCAAAGGCTGGTTATATAGGCCGAAGCGTCAATCCTGAGCCCTCGGATCAAACACTGACTTGAAAGAATGGCGTAGATGCAATCTTTAAGGCAGTGGAGAACCGATGTACGAAGGAGGGACTGCTAGGTGGACATAGGGGGTCAGCCGACTTACAGGTAGGGTCAGCAGGCCCACATGTCAGCGCCTTGGCCTCCACTTTGGTGTGGTGTCTTCTTGAGTCTTCTAGAACCTTCTAGGATAGTTTTCGCCGCAGATAAGCGTGTTTTTATTTGATGATTTGATCCCTCTTGATAGTTTTCTGGATAAACCCTGCCGAAAACACAGATTCACCAAAACTTGTGGAAATTATCAATTCAAACCCCTAAATCTATGTTGGTGATCCTATTTATGCATTTATTCAAGTTAAGTTGATGGTTTATGATGGATGATAACTACTGTCAACACTAGGTTACCAATGCCTAGGGGCTCCCTAGCGCCGCTCTCTAGGCATGCCCCTGCCAACTGCTCCTTTGACAGGGTCACATCCTAGGCGTGACACAAGAAGACCAAGCTTCGCGTGGCCTCCGAGGGCTCGGGGGCTTCCGGGCCCACACGTCACCCCTCCAAAGCCGACCTCCTTCGCCACCAAGAAGACTCCAGAAGGTCTCGCCCGAGGGAGGCTGGTCCAAGCCGACATAGTCTGACATGTATAGTGTCAGAACAGAGCAGCCGGACGATGCCTAGGCTTCTTCAGCTCCAAGACACCTAGACGGTCCACGGCGTACCACTGTAAGCCCCTCTTGGACTATGGCACACGTAGACCATAGACTAGAACCCTCAAACCGCCTTGTACCTGACCTATCTCGTTATATAAGGGATAAGGTCGGACCTAGAGGGGAGAGGATCCCGATTCGATCACCTGACATTCCATTTTAATCCATTCGCCTCCGCTCTGCACCAAGAGCAAGGCAACCCGGAGAGGGGCACCAAGAGCCCCTCCTCCATCGCATCCCATCGTCTCCTTCCTCCCCGACGAGGGGGAGACTCCACCGACGGCGAGGCAACCTTAGGATTAGCACCGAGCTAACCCCCTACCAAAACTCTCTTCCTTTACACTCTGTTGTAACCCCCCCAGATTTTGGGTGCTCTTGAGTACAAGGATCATCAGCTGTTGGACAAAGGGACCGAATTGGCTAGAACCAGGATAAACCATTGCATCTTCTCTGCGTGATTCTGGTATTCCTGAGTCCACCCGAGCCACCGGAGACCTCGTACTTTGACACCAACTCGAACAACATGCTTGCCACGGTTTCAACCCCGCGACAGTCGGTAATTAGCATTATATTAAGGTTCACTTTAGATCATGTTTTTAATAGTGTGTAATTTACATTGAGATTCATTTGGTTCTTTAACTGTTTTACACGATCACAGAGGTTAGTCATTATTAGAAAATAGCATATATCCTAATGGCTATTATTATGAATGGTATTAGAGTCTACCAATCTGATGGCCTTACTTTTTTGTGAGAAGAATTTTATGATATGTATTTAGTTGAAATCTAAATTAGGTTATATAAGTTCTTGTCAATATTTTAGCTTTTAACTTTTAATCTAATTGTTGCAATTTTTAACCACATTTCAAGTTAAATCTCCAATGCCTATTGTATCTTTTGTTCAAATTTTCTTATAACTTGGAAAAGATGTTAGGTCCTAGGCTGCCTTCTTAGTTATTACAATGGTCTATATTGTCACTTTAGCTTGCATTGCAGCACTCCAGATGTTGAATTTGTTATATCAATTTTTTATATTTGTAGTAGTATTTTTATTTATGTAGAGCCTCAAATTAAATTATTATGATTATTGATTTGATATAATGTTTAAGTGAAGAAGTATAAACTTATTTATAATAACAACCTACGAATTTTATTGTCATGGTGTACTAATATATTTAAATAAGTTTTAAGTGTAATTGCGATGTAGTTTTGATAAGCTATTAAAAAGATATTTATCCTAAACATATATATGTTTACTTGCTGTATACGACAGAACATAGCGAGCGTTGAAGTGTGTAGTTTAGAAATATATATAGCGTACTTTTATGGATATTGGACTATTTTAATATATTCTATTGGTATTTGTACATAGATATGAGAGATATTTTTATTTATTTATAAATGCTGAGATTGAAAACTTTAATACAAACTAAAAGGCATAAATTTATTATACTTTATAATATATATATATGGGTATTTTGAATACACAGGGGTTAGTTTGTAGCTTTTTTCATAACGACAGATGTGGTTAATTTATAAAATGTATTAGAAGGTTATTTTTAATTGCCTTTTGTAATGACTAAGGTCTAGTTTAGTTATAAATTTAGGCAATTGTTTTGAATTATCATTTAGTGGATGACCGATGAAAACAATTGGACAAAAGTCGAATAGATTGATTTCTGGTTGAGTAGGGTTCACAAAATCATTTTGTTCTTTTGGACCGTCAGACCACTTTAGGGTAAATCCACTGGTGTTGTCTAATAGACGGTTTCTTATCGTACAATGTAGTCTTATGAGAACTTAATAGACAATATATACCATGGTTGTCTTTTGAGTTGTCACATAGTAAATCCTATTTAAAAAAAATTGTGCATAAACAAAAGGTACATTATGGGTTGTATGACAACAATTCATACAGTTGTGCAATAGAGATCTCATAATCCTCAATTTTAGCTTATATAATAGAGACCTCATAATCCTCAATTTTAGCTTATATCTCACCTCCATCTTTTTCCTCCACATCATAGAAAATATTATACCTTATTTGTATGGGCACACATGTATATCTTATTTGTTGAGGTTGAGATTCTATCTCATGTTTTATGAATTAATAGATTAAACTTCCATTTGATTTTTTATTTTTAATTAATAGATTATGTAACGTGGATGTCATGGGCATTGTTGTCTTGATATTTTATTAATACAATCAGATATTAGTTTTTTTAATCAACTGCATGTAAACGTGAGTACATGAGATTTGTTCCCGTATATTTTTTAATTTCTTGAAGAATATTTTTCTATACGTATATCTAACCAATCAGATATTAGTTTTTTAATCAATTGTGAATGTGAGTATAGGAGATTTGTTGCCTTATGTTTTTTAATTTCTTGAAGAATATTTTTCTGTACATTGAAGTTGTGTAAGCATAAGTACAGGAGATTTTTTCCCGTACGTTTTTTTTTTAAGGATTTGAGGGGGTACGTCAAAGTTGTTTTCACCGTACAATGAGATATTAGCCTATTTTTTCTATATATAATTGTGAAGGTGGATAATTTTTTTTAAAAAGAAAATAGATCTAACAGTTAAGGATAGTTGGAGTCTTTCGACTAACGGTTATATGTTTCTGATTAATGTGGGAATTTGTAGCATTTATCTTTTTTTCTAGCGCTTCTGGTCAGGATTAACATGGAGGTTCCGTTAGAGCCTCTAATTAGTAATAGTAAGATGCCCTATGCTCCAGTGCTATTCTCTGCTATAAGCAGTGTTTTAAATCGCTAGTTAAGACATTTAGCAATCTATCTCCTGAAAAAGTAAATAGTCGGTGATAGCAAGCTATAGTGGCAACTAATATCTAAATTGTATATAAAAAATATAGCTAAGTCCTGTTCAAACAGCTATAGTCGAAAATTTAAACCTTAGGCTTAAGTAAACATTACAATGCTCATACAAATGATAAAAAATCTTTTATAAGGGAGAGTAGAAGATATTTTCACTCAACAACTTTTAATCTTTATTCTAGCAACCATCATACATATACCTTAGTATATAAAATATTTTCTTAGCAACACATGTCCATACTCCTACACACCGAGGACAATCATATTCATTTATTGCACTCAGAGTAGACAACTGGAATCACATAACCGAGCATATCAATATGGATGGAAAAGCTTTGAACATTATTCAGTTGGAATTTGGACCATAGCTACCCCACCATTAACTTTTCCTGCTTTATTCAATTCACGACTCATTCTGAACTCACTAACTTGACAGCGGCGGCGGCGGCGGCGGCGGCGGCATGAAGCTTATTGGCGTACTGCACCGCCTTGTCCGCCTCCGGCACCACCTCCTTCGCCTCTACACTCCCTCCAAACCGCTCCGCCCACGCAGCCAAGAGCGGAGTCTTGCTCGTGTTAATGATCTCCAGGCCGTACATCCTGCGCAGCGCCTCGAACCAGAACAAGAAAGAGCCGAGCACGATGTCGAGGTAGCCTATGGAGTCGCCGCCGAAGAAGGCGTTGCCGTTGGAGCACTTGGCAAAGGCCACTTCCACGTGCTCGATCGCGGCAAGCGTCTCCTTCACCTTCTCCGCCCTCTCCTCCTCCGCCTTGGCCTTCAAGATGCCTATCCACGCCGGGCACAACTGCAAAGCAAGACGCTGCCAATTCGATCACGATTGCAGATCACAGAGAAGTAAACTCGCGTGCATGTTTATTTATACCTTGTCTTCGATGTAGGCAGCCCAGAAGCGAGCAGTGGCACGCTCGTAGGGGTCAGTTGGGAGGATTGCCCGGCCAGCGAACAGCTCGTCGACGTACTGCAGGATGACGAGTGACTCACAGATGGGCTTACCGTTGTGGATGAGCACGGGCACCTTCTTGTGTACCGGGTTGAGCTTGATCAGGAGCTCGCTCTTGTTGAATAGGTCCTCCTCGACGTACTCGTAATTCAGTCCTTTCATGCTTAGCGCCATGCGCACGCGGATCACGAACGGGCTCACCAGCAGGCCGAGGAGCTTCAGATCCTCCTTGCCCGCCATTGTTTTCTTCTCTCAATGTTTCCCTCTACTGGTTCCTTGGCTCGTGACTAGTCCTATCTTGCTCTGTCTCTGTGCAAGACTGGCCTGTACAGAGTCTCAGTTTGGGTGTCCGATCGTCCATATAAAGGTCACGTCTAGTTGATGGTTGCAGACTACGACTTCGGCGGCTGGCGAGCGGTGACGGCAGCTAGGTGCCTCCCCCCTCCCCCTCTTTTCTTTTTTATGACGCAATTTACTGAATTTAGTGGCCTTGGGCTTTACCAGCCCCCGCAACACAGTCCTCCACGTGCACCTGCTTCTACTCCTCCTGTCCCAACTCACTACTAGAAAGAAACAGGCTCTTCGTCGAGTGCAAACTACTTTGCCGAGTGTCATTTATTTGTCGAGTATCGGACACTCGGTAAAAAAAGGCTTTCGGCAAAGGACTTCTTTGCCGAGTGCCCGACTCTCGGCAAAAGCGCGGCACTCGGCATAGGCTGCCCCGCGTAACGGTGTTCGACCACGTCCTTTTTTTTTCTGAGTGCATGCTGTTAGGCACTCGGTAAAGAAGGTTTTTTTAAAAAAAAAAATTATTTGTCGAGTGTCCTGATCTGGCACTCGGCAAAGATTTTTTTTTTTTTTGGAAAATACTTGCCGAGGGCCCCTGACATGGCGCTCGGCAAAGATTTTTTTTCGAAATGTCTTTACCGAGTGCCCCTGTGAAGGCACTCAGCAAAGAGGAAATTTTTTAAAAAATCAGAACCCTCTTTGCCTAGTGCCCTATTCTTGGCACTCGGCAAAGACCTCCTTTGCCGAGTGCCATACCCCCGGCACTCGGCAAAGTTTTTTTTTTGTTTTTGGCCTCTAAATTTTTTGTGCAGCCTTTTTAAAGTACCAGGAACTCCTAGTTAAAATTTGGGGATTTTTTGTGGCTTTTCGATATATCTAGTTACTTTATTTCGTTTACTTGAATTTTTTCGAAAAATATAAATTTGAACTGCGCGTGGTACGAATAATGGAATTTAATGATTCAAAAAATGATAGTCATGTTACTGAGTGTAGTGTGAGGCCGTATCCAGGAACGGACCCGAAATTTCGAACATCTTGTTCACGAAACATAACCGTGAACTTGCATACGAAGTGTTTTTAAATTCTATAAAAAGCAAACGAAGTCCGGAAATCATGAAACTTGTTGAGATGTCGTGATATCGTATGTGGAGGCTATGATAAAAATTTGAGAAGGTTTGTGTGGAGCTGTAATTCATATTCGTCTATATCCATCACATATATATCTCATCAACCCACACATCCATCCGCACATATCACATCCATCACAATATATATCACATATATAATAATAAGTGCTCAAGTCCATCCAAATAAATCCACAAGTCCATCAAAGTCCATAAGTGCATCACAAGTATATCACAAATCTATCACCAAGTGAACAACAAATAAAAAAAATACAACGTGCCCTCATCTCGACCACTGCGACTGTGGTGAAGGCCTAACTCCATCATTTAGAGGTGCATGAGGTGGATTATTCGAACCACCGTCAGATGGAGACTGCACAAAGGAGAAAAGATTGCATGTGAGACAAGATTATTTGGATAGCTAATCTAGGAAGGTAGAGGCCATACAAGCAAAGCACAAGCGAAAGTAAAAAAACTTTCATACTCACAGGAGTAGCTGGAGCTACAGGACACGGAGGCGGAGGTGGAACCAACAACCCAGGTGGCAGAGAGAAGCCCACACGTTGCCCAAGCCCTTGTAGGAACTCCGTAATGTCCGTCAGCCTCTGCGCCTGGGCCTGCCGCTCGGCCTCCCGCTCGGCCTCTAGCTAGGCCGCCATCCTCTGCTGCCCGGCCTCCAGCTCCTGACGTTGCCTCATTTCTTGTTCTAGCCGGGCCTGCAATATTTCACTCCAATGTTTCAGTAATGCAAAGCTAATTAAGGTGTGTAAAGATCAATGTATGATGAGTAAAATAGGAATAATCTCGAGTGCGTCGACCTGGTGCTGTGCAGTGGTCTGCCGTGTGCGAATGGCCAGGCTCTCGCTCGTGCTCCGTGCTCGGATCTGGGAGAGAGAGGGAGTAGAGGCCGTGTCGATGACGCCGTCATCAAGCCAGAACCACCCATGCTTCTTGCCTTGCCCCGCCCTCATGACGGCCTCTCCATCGAAGTCCTGGGTGCTCGGATCGTGGTCTGGCCCATGGAGCGACTTCGCCACCTCAGTGTACTCACTGATGCGGGAGTGGACACTTGGGTTCGTGTATGCCTCGGGTGGGTCCTCCAGGTTGAAGGAGACGTCGAACATCGCCTTGCCCTTGTGGGCCATACACCATGCCTGGAAGTCCGAGCAAGCCTGGCCACTATGTGACGCCAACTGCGAGAAAGACAGCACGATGATTAGAAATCAGGCAGAACTGAGCGTCACAATAGATAAATGAATTCGCGTACCCATGCTTGTTTGTATCCGGTGAGGTTGCGACTGCCTTGATGGTGTGTTGTACCTTGCATCTGCAAACGATGGTCCCGGGCATCCCTGTGCATCTTGAGGTACTCCTCCGTGAACCACCTCTCCACCATCATCGCCCAACACTCGGGATACGCTTGGCACCACCAGGGAATCATCTACACGTCATCAAGTATTGGACATATAAGAAGACCAAATTAAACCAACTTAATCTCAAAATGAATTAATATTGATGTTTTTCATTTACCTCAAATTTTATCACATCCGCCACATACGATATCATGACATCTCAAATTTAGAGGATGTGATCACACGTGGAGATGTCCTGGTTTGTAAGCATCGTACGTGACAACGTGCACCAAACCTTCTCAAATTTTTATCACATCCTCCACATACGATATCATGACATCTCGACAAGTTTCATGATTTTTGGACTTCGTTTTTATTTTATAGAATTTAAAAACAATTCGTCCGCAAGTTCGTGGTCATGTTTCGTGAACAAGATGTTCGAAATTTCGGGTCCGTTCCTGGATATGGCCTCACACTACACTCAATACCATGAATATCATTTTTTGAATCATTAAATTCCATTATTCGATGCACGTGCAGTTCAAATTTGCATTTTCTGAAAAAATGAAATGAAATGAAATAAATTAACTAAATATAGCAAAAAGCCATAAAATGAACCAAATTTTAACATGGAGTCTCATGTACTGTAGGAGGACTCGAGAAAAATTTTGGAGTTCAAAAGTGGGAAAAAAATAGTTTGTCGTTATTCTTTGCCGAGTGTGAGGGTATGGCACTCGACAAAGAAGTGGTTTGCCGAGTGCCTACCCGCTGGCACTCGGCAAACCTGGACGGCAGGCGACGGCCGTTACCTGACGCTGTTTTTTACCGAGCGCCAGGGTTTGCCGAGTGCCTGACACTAGGCAAAAAGGGCCTTTGCCGAGTGACACTCGGCAAAGCCTTCTTTATCGAGTGTATATCTTTGCCGAGTGCGGCACTCGGCAAAATAGCTCTTTGCCGAGTGCCCGACTTTTAGCCCTCGGCAAAGGCCCTATTTCCCGTAGTGTATATGCGTCATGCGTGACACCTGCTACACTACTGCAGACGGGCTCTTTGTTGAGTGCTTAGGGCACTCGGCAAAGCCCCTATTACACTCGGTAAAGGCTTTGCCGAGTGCCGCACTCGGCAAAGAGTAGTCGGCAAAGGTTTCTTTGTTGAGTGCCACATATCGGGCACTCGGTAAAGCCTTTGCCGAGTGTCACGTCAGCACTCGGCAAAAAAAATCTGACGTCAACTCTTACGGCCTCTTTGCCGAGTGCCACCTCAGCGGCACTCGGCAAATATTTTTTTCTTTTTTTTTGAAAATTCTTTGCCGAGTGCCATACTCTTGCACTCGGCAAAGAAATTTTTTCTTTAAAAAAAAAATCTTTGCTGAGTGCCATAGCTCTGGCACTCGGCAAAGCTGGGAAATTGGGTCTCTGCTTCCCAGCTTTTGTCGAAAGTGCCATGGTCACTAAGGTTTTAAAGCAAAGCCTCTTTGCCGAGTGTGACACTCGCAAAGAGGGAAAAGCTATTTTTTTGTTTTTGCTTTCCATCAACACAAACAAAGAAATTACATATATATCAACACACAGCACAGGATATATCACATACACATCCATATTCCATCACATACACATCCATAACCCATCACATACACATCCACCATCCATAATACATCACATACAAATCCATTGTCCATAATCCATCACATACATTCGCATCATCCATGACAATATCCATCACATATATATATATGTCTCTAGTAGTAGTCCAACATAAGACTAAGTCTAACACAAGTCCATGCACACATGAAAAGAAACAAATAAGCGGTACCTCATCGCCACCTCCCCACACAGTGTGAACTACCACCTTGAGGAGGGGGCCACACCCACCAGCCTATGGAGAAGGGCCACCTTGAGGAGTCGGGTTTGAAACGCCCCGACAAGTTGTGGCTACACAATTGAGAAGCGAATTCATGAGTATCTCTAGGAGGGCCGCACAAGCTAAAGGAATAAACAACCATATATATACTCACCGGAGTCCCTACAAGAGGAGGAGGAGCACAATCTGGAGCGAAAGCAATGAGGTTAGGGGGCACTCCACCACACAATGTAAGGCTCAAGGCTCGCCATGAAGCTGAACAAGTCCTGCAGCCTCTACGCCTTGACCGCCCTCTGGGTTTGTATAGCTTCCATCTCTAGCCAATGGGCCTCCGCCTGGGCCACCTGCTGGGCCTCCAACCTCCGCAAGTCGGCCTGCAACATTCCACCTGCAATGTTTAAACAATGCAAAGGCAAGGTAGATGCGTAGATGAGGTCAGTTTCAATGCTCCGCTCCTATCCGAGACAGAATTTCGGCAGCACCTCCCCGCTGTTCTCCCGATACATGTCCTGCAAGGGAGAGTGTGTATCCAGAGAACAACAGGGAGGTGATGCCAAAAGTCTGTCTCGGACCGGAGCGAACCATGGAAACTAACCTCATCTACGCATCCGCGGGCTGTCCAAAATACGTGGATCCCTTCAGTCAATCAAACATGGGATCAATCCCGAAGAGATATGATCGCAGATATGCAAAGATCTCGCATACCTCCGACCGTATCTCTTTCGAACGGGAGACGCCTAATCGGGCTACATGACCATATAAAACATGCATGCAAAGGAGAGGGGTTATACCTAGGGTGGCGGTGGAGTTAGGCTATGGCAGGGGCACATGGCGTGGTAATATACCTGGTGAGTTAGGCGTGGCGAGGCGATGCAGTGCACCAAGTGCGGCAAAGCAGAGACCGACGAAGACGATCGGGGTCGCATGAGTCCCCCTCCCATGGGTCCTTCTCCTACATAAAAAGGCAATAGGTTAGAATCCATTGAAAATTTGGTAGCACCTCCCCGCACGGGAGGTTTCTAAAACTGCAAGAAAACGAGGCGCTGACGGCCAACAACCACATATATACGAAACATAGGCACGAAGGCCAACAAACATATATATACCAAGACGAGCCATGTACTTTAGTTCTCTTTCCATGCAGATGAAAGTATCGAAGTAGTACAACAAGTACTACTACCACTACAACTACTACTAACACTAACACTAACACTGCTACTACTAACACTACTACTATCACTACTTACTACTAACAATACTACTAACACTACTAACTACTAACTACTACTACTTACTTACTACTACTAACACTACTAAGTACTACTACAGGTGTAGGGCATACCTTCGCGACGAGAATGGCAACAACGAGGGTCGGCGACGACGACGGGGACGACCGCAGCGGCGTGAGGGTCGACAGGCCTAGGCCGGCACCTTCCTTCTCCTCTCCTTCTCCTTCTCCTCGTCTCTTCTCCCCTCCTCCTCTCTTCTCCCCTGCCTCCTCCTCCTCTCTTCTGCAGTGGCCGCCGACGGGGGCAGTGGCCGCCGACGGGGGAGGTGGTCGTCGAGGGGGCACGCAGGGGGGGAGGTGGCCGCCAAGGGGGCCAGTGCGGGCGGTGGAGGCCGGGTGGGGGCGGTGGAGGCCGGGCGGGCGGTGGAGGCCAGGCGGGGGTGGCGGCCGCGCGAGGACCCGGCCAGGGGAGGTGGACGGGGACGGGCCATGTGGGCCGCTGAGCATGGCGCGCCGAGACGAGGAGGCAGACGGGGGCCGGGCGCCGTGGTGGCCCAGCATGGGGAGGGTGGTGGTGAGGCGAGGGGCCTTGGCGCGATGCGCGGTGGTGAGGGAGAGAGAGCTGAGAGGGAGACAGAAATGAGATGTCCTCGTTTGTGAGCATCATACGTGACAACCACTACTACAGAAACGTTTTTGGCGGCGGGCGGATTAGCTTTCCCGCAGCGGGCAAACGAGTCCGCCAGTGCCGAAAGGTCACGGTAAATCGTGGCCTTCCCGCGGCGGGCCGCTTTGCCCACTGCGGTTAATCGGTTTACCGCGGCGGGCACGTTAGGATGCCCGCCGCGATTAATCGTTTAAAAAAAACAAAAAACCAGGAACCCGCCGGCGAGCCCATTCTCGAGCCCATCGACGAGCCCGTCCTAGCCCAATACTGGAGCCACCGTACCTCGCTGGATCCGCCGCCGGGGTCTCCTCGCCGGATCCGTCGCTAGATCTGCGCCGACGCCGCAGGTTGGGGCCGTCTTGCCATGGATCCATGCCGCCGCCGTGTGGATCCACGTCGCGGGAGCAGGGAGTCGACATGGCCGGCCTGGATCCACGCATCCACCCTGGATCCGCTGTCGTGTGGATCCACGTCGTAGGGAGTCGACGCGGCCGCCTGGATCCGCCGCCGTGTGCCCATCCCTGCGCCGCGCAGCACCTCACCTATGAGAGAGAGAGAGAGATGAGGGAGGACTGAGAGGAGAGAGAGGGTGGGAGAGAGAGGGAGAGACATACCGGGCGCCCTGGATCCACCGCAGACGCCGCCGAGCGCGCCTCGCCGCCGCCCTGCCTCGCCTCACCTCGCTGCCAAGGCCGCCCTGCTGCCTCGCCGAGAGCGGCGTGCCGCGCGCCGCCCTACCTCGCCTCGCCTCCGGCGCGCGCTTGGCTTTGCTGAAGCCGCCATGCCAGCGCCGCTCGCCGCCGCCTGGCCTCGCCGAGCCGAAAGCGCCACCGAGAGAGAGGAGGGAGGGGCGCACACCGGGAGAGAGGAGCGGAGGGAGGAGGGCCGCCGGGAGGAGTGTGAGGGGGGGGAGAGAGAGAGAGTGGTCTTGCGAGAGAGAGGGGGGGCAGGGGGCGAGGAGAGAAGTGTGGTGGCGCCGATCTGGGCTCTTATATATATATGTGACCTCAGAATTGGACCGTATCTGGGCTTTGGATGGGGCCGTATTTACTGTGGCGGGCCTTATAAAATGCCCGCCACGGTAAATCGATTTACCGTGGCGGGCACCTTAAGATGTCCGCCACGGTAAATATGGTATTTTCCGTGGCGGACATCTTAAGGTGCCCGCCACGGTAAATCGATTTACCGTGGCGGGCAAAAGTGCCCGCTGCGGTAAATAAAAAATACCGACGCGGTAAATCGTGGGATTTACCGCAGCGGGCAAAAATAGGTGCCCGCCACAGAGTGCAAAAGTGCAACGCTGCGTAAAATCGTTTATGTAGTAGTGAACGTGGTTGAAACTTTTTCAAATTTTTTCCACGGCATACGCATACGATACGGCGACAACTCGACAAGTTTCATGATTTTCGGAATTCGTTCGCATTTTATACAATTAAAAAACCACTCCCACGCAAGTTGGCGGCGTTGCCCCGTGAGCACGTTGATCGAAATTTCGAGACAATTCCTAGATTTAGCCTAAATTTACACTAAGAAACAAGGATAATATTTTTTGAATAAATGTAATCCATTATTCGATGCACCTGCAGTTCAAACTTATATTTTCTGGAAAAATTCAACAAAACAAAATAAACTATAGAAATGTGCCAAAAGGCAATGAAAATATCCCAAATTTAAACATGTTGTTTGTGGTAGTGTACTAAAGCTTCAAAAAAATTGGTGGCAAAAAACCAAAAAAAAAAATTTTGTCGAGTGTCAAGTTTTGGCACTCGACAAAATAAATTCTTTGCTGAGTGCCAAACGAGGGGCACTCGGCAAAGAGGACGCCGCTGGATGACGTTAGGCCTCTACCAATGTTTGCCGAGTGTCTGCCTTTGCCGAGTGCCTCGCACTTGGCAAAGACAGCCTTTGCCGAGTGCAGGTCTTTGCCGAGTGCCATATTTTACCGAGTGCCCGAAATTTGGCACTCGGCAAAGATTTTTGCACTCGGCAAATCACGTGTTTCCCGTAGTGCTAGATGCCTATATATACTCCAGACCATTAATAGGAGATCCATTGCGGAACCCAAATCTAAAATGGGTCTCCAACATAATACATATAGCCTCCAACAGAGTATCTATATGAAAAATCCATTTTAGATGTCAGGAGAGGCATAACCCAAATCTGTATATCCTTTCTCCGGAGACCCTGCAGAAAGGGTTGTCTTTTAGGTCTTGTTGTTGGAGTAGACCAAAAATAGGTATTGAACCTAAAAATAGATATTGAACCATTTGCCTTTAGCGCTACCCAAAGGACGAGTGGGTCTTGTATTTTTTGTCGCGGTTGTTGAAGACGGTCTTATCTTGCACAGACTCGGAACAAGATAGGACTAGCTAGTTACAAGCCAAGAGCCAGTAGAGCAGTAGAGAAAAATATCGAGAGAAGAAAACAATGGCGGGCAAGGAGGATGTTAAGCTCCTCGGCCTGCCGCTGAGCCCGTTCGTGGTCTGCGTGCGCATGGCGCTGCACATGAAAGGAGTGAGTTACGAGTACCTCGAGGAGGACCTAAACAACAAGAGTGAGCTGCTCCTCAAGTCCAACCCGGTGCACAAGAAAGGTGCCCGTGCTCATCCACAACGGTAAGCCCATCTGTGAGTCACTCGTCATCCTGCAGTACGTCGACGAGCTGTTCGCTGGCCGGTCAATCCTCCCAACCGACCCCTACGAGCGCGCCACCGCTCGCTTCTGGGCAGCCTTCGCCGGCGACAAGGTATACACATGCATGCACGCACGCGCGTTTACTTATCTGTTCTCTACAAACGTCGGACCCCAATCGTAGGTGCCTTTCTCGCAGTTGTTCCCGGCGTGGTACGGCGTGGTGACGGCCCAGGCGGAGGAGGAGAGGGCGGAGAAGGTGAAGGAGACGCTTGCCGCGATCGAGCGCATGGAAGTGGCCTTTGCCAAGTGCTCCGGCGGCGGCAACGCCTTCTTCGGCGGCGACTCCATTGGCTACGTCGACATCGTGCTCGGCTCCTTGTTCTGGTTCGAGGCGGTGCGCAGGGTTTACGGCCTGGAGATCATTAGCGCGAGCAAGACTCCGCTCTTGGCTGCGTGGGCGGAGCGGTTTGGAGGGAGCGTAGAGGCGAAGGAGGCGGTGCCGGTAACCAAGGCGGACATGGCGGTACAGTATATCAATAAGTTTCGTGCCCCTGCCGCCGGCGCTGCGAAGTTAGCGAGTTCAGAATGAGTTCAGGCTGTAATGTTCAAAGCTACTGTAGGTGCTAGCTATGATCCAAATTCCCACCGAATAATGTTCAAAGCTTAGATATTGATAATATGCTTGGGTTGACTTTGTCACCTGGTTATGTGGTTCTAGTCGTCTGCTATGCAATAAATATGATTATTTTGGTGTGAACTTCCTCTCTCTCTCTCTCTCTCTGAAATAACTGCATATCTTCTTTTTCGAGAAATCAATTTTTAATGCTGGTTTCCATGAAGTAGAGAAACGAATGTTCTTACAAGATTTCTTATCGTATCACGGCCACAGAACACATTTTCAGAGGTAATCAAAACCGAATATCAGGGGCCTGCCTCTAATTCATGGTCACTGTTAATCGCAAACAAAAGAGATGGCAGTTCATGGTTCATGCCCACCTATGTAAATCCAGGCAGGAAAACAAAAGGAAGCCCGTGGACAGTGAGCCCATCGCTAAGCCTAGTGAGCCCAGCAAGCCTGTCAGGAGGCCCACTGATGTCGAACCCGCCAAGGTTCTTCCTGTCGGAGACAACGTCGGACACCAGCCTCGCATTTCATATTCGTCATCAAACCCGCCATGTAGATCTCTTCAGCGGACTTTAGTACTACTCGAATTGAATCCACTACAGGGAGCAAATCGAATTGAACAAGAGAGCGGGAGGATAGACTCATCGAAAACAAGGCCGGTAGGGAACTAGGGATGAGGTGGGTGTGGGTGGTCAGTGATGTCAATGAGGGCGAGCAAGACAGCACTCCAAACAGGCTCTAGTGGCGGGAGAGCACCCAAATCCATTACATCTGTGTGCAGAGGAGGGACGGATCCAAAGCCATTGCCAATCTCGTTGAGAGGAGGAAGGGATATTTTCATCCATGCTAGATATCGTCGTTGTGGATGGGGATCTCGCCATGTCTGAAGGATTGGAGTGGAGGTGGGTACCGTCGACGTCGAAGAGGATGTAGAGGTTGTCGTCAGTAGAGACGGGTATCCGTTGCCACTCCATTAGCCCCGCATAGGCCGCCACTAGGCCCTCGACCACAATGCCACTGTTGGGCCCTCAATCGCGCCGCCTTTGCCAAGCCCTTGCCCGGCACGCCGCCTCTGCTGCGATGCTAGAGATGAGAGAGCCGAGGAGAAAGAGGAGCGAGAGGGTGAGTCAGATGGTTGAGGGAAAAAATGAGTGTCCCAAATGTATGTGAACCATAGTGATGGGCTAGTGGGCTCCTCCTTTTAGAGGCAAACTAGTTAAGTTTTGTAGAGATGGTTTCAAAATAAAGCAACTGCCTCTGAAGTTAGCTAGGTATTTTAGGAGACATATATGCTTTTGAAGTGCATCTATTGTAAATAAATGGGACTATCTCTTAAAATCATTTTTGCAGTGGTTCCAACCATGCGTTTTTGTTGCTGTTTAGCGGTTTGAGGCCCTGTTTGGGACAACTTATCTCCAACATGCTTCGAATTGAAGTTTGCTTTCTCTCACCACTGGTTTCCAAAATAATCATGGGCAGAAAAAGCTTCTTGTTTGGCATGCTCAGTTCTAGGGAGAAGAACCACCATTGCAGCAGCGAAAGAGGAGGTAGAGGGGGGTGTTGGCCGTGCCTCCCTACTCTGGCTCCGGCGCAGAGGAGGAAGAGGGGCGTGTGCAGCGATGAACCCTCGCCAGCTCTCTTGGATCTGTGTAGAAGGGGCGAGGTTGTCGTCTCCCAATTCGCCAAGAGGAGGCAGAACAAAGGAAGGGGCACACCAAAGAAAAGGAGGAGGAAGCGCCTCCCTGCTCGGTCGCTAGTGAGGAGGCGTGCACATGACAACCCCTCACCCTGATCTCAACTGGGAGGTCCTTCTAGTCCAGATCTTGACCAATAATGAGGAGGTAGGGGTGATGCTCGACGAAGAGGAGGCAGCGGAGGAGCCGACAGTGTGACACGACGGGGATGGTGGGAGGAGGGCAAGGGAGCATGGCTGCCGGCAGACACGAGGAGGGCACGGATGGCGAGGATGAAGGAAGGAGAGGCGGTTGGAGGCGAACATGAGGAGGGCGACGCGGGCAGAGGTAGAAGCTGCAATGATTTTCCCCACTGCTTCCTCCGTGCCGTTTCAGCGTTCAAGTGCAATTGGCACCGTGGAGAGAATCACTAGGAGAAAGCCCGGCATGAAACACGGCATTTGGGGGACTTGGGCCGCATTTTTTTTTACTAGAATCCGGCTAGAATCTGTTCCAAACAGGCCTTTAGCCTAGCTAGGTATGTGAAGTAGGCCATAGAACTACAGATCGGCTCTAGAACATTTCATCGTAAATGTGTACTAGTCAAATCTACATTGCAGAGCTGACGAAAGAGAAAATTTGCAGCATCTTTAGGACAAAAGCAATCGCTTCTTTTCAATTCAAATGTCGGAAGACATGCATGTTTTATTTAGAGTTGTCTGACACTCTGACTACATGCAGGCAGATAGATGGCCCAAGGCCCAGCAACTATGGTAGCCCACGGCGAGCTCGCCTCATCTTGTTATACTCCAGCAGCCTGTGCACGTCAGGTATCACCTCCCTGACGCCGTCGAGCGTATGGATGGCAACGGGATGTAACATCGGGTATCGCCGAAACGTTCTCTTTCCCGTTATGGAGAATTCATCCTGTCTCTGTCCCCGTTAACTGTCTCGGATATAGATTCTTGTCCATCCCTATACTCATCGGGTATCGGTTGGGTAACAGATACCCGACGGGTACTGCATACCCGATAAACAAGGACATTTTGGGTCGCAGCTTTGCAATCGGAGACGTTTTTTCTTCACCCGGATATAAGTGTCGGAGTCTCGGAGATGTCTAGGAGAAGGAGCGAGGTTGCGAGGAGGATGAGCAAAGGTGGTAGAGAGACCGAACTGAGGAAGCGAGGGTCACGAGCGCTCGTAAGGCAGGCGTGCTTATACAGCTGGCGGAGATGGTGGGGAAAAATTGAATTAGGGTTCCTAGAACACACAAACTATATATATGATTGTTCAGATTTGGGCTAAAATACCTATGTTGAGTTTCTTTGGACATAATACTCACACGACAGCTCAAATAATCGGGTTTACCAACAGGTAACGGGGACGGATAAACAGGGAACGTTTCCGTACCCGCTATACTCGTCGGGGATGAATTCTTGCTCATTTAAATGCCCGCGGGTAAAGATATGATCCCATCCCCATTCTCTAATGGATCAAATAACCGTCGGATATCGGGTATCGGGGCGTTGCCATCTTTAGTCGAGCGCGGCGAACCGGTCCGCCCACGCTGCCAGCAGCGGCGTCTTGGCGGGGTCGATAACCGCCACGCCGCACATCACCTCGGACGCGCGCAGCCACCCGAGGAAGCCGCCTAGCACGACGTCCACGAGGCCGGCAGCATCCCCGCCGAAGAACGCCTTGCCCCCGGAGCACTCCTCGAACGCCTGCTCAAACTTCTCCAGGACGGCCACGACCTGCCTCGCCGCCTCGACTCTGTCTTCTTCGCTCGTCCTGCCGATGTACACGTGTATCCAGGTGGTGAAGAGCTGCAATGCAAGCCGCGCACAGCTACCGGGGTTAGTCAATTATTAGTGCCAAATCTGAATTAAGTTGATTTGCAATTGCAAGTTCGGGGCAAGTGCATGGAAGACACGGTACCTTGTCATTGACGTTGGAGGCCCAGAAGCGAGCGACGGCGCGGCGGTACGGGTCGGCGGGGAGGAGGCGGGGGCCACTGGCCGGGAAGGCCTCGTCGACATACTCCGCGATGATCCGGGACTCGCAGACGGGCCTGCCGTCGTGGAGGAGCACTGGCACCTTCCTGTGCACGGGGTTGGAGGCGAGGAGGAGCTCGCTCTTGTTGTCGAGGTCGTCCTCGACGTATCTGTAGGCGAGGCCCTTGAGGTTGAGCGCGACGCGGGCCCTGATAACGAACGGGCTCGACCACACGCCGAGCAGCTTCAGCTCTTGGTCTTTGTCCGCTTCTCGTCCTGCCATTGGTTTTGCTGTTGAGTTAGAGTATTCTGGAGTTCCTCTGGATTTCGGAGTAGTCCTTCCGTTCTGCGAGCGTCAGGATTCGGTCCATTTCAAGAGATGGTGTTCTGATTTGGACCGGTGTGCGAACGTCAGGATTGTGTGACCATGTGCGCGGTTCAGACGTTCACTGTTCGTGATCATCATCCATGACGTTCACTGTAAACTTTTAGATTTTGACTAACAGCGAATTCTTACTATTTTTAACTGAATTCTTTATTATACTAGATAAATGCCGAGTACATATTTTTATTCTTGACACATAAACTCCCAAGTAGAGAATGATTCGTATCGGACGCGAACGCATTGAGCAAGGATCTCGAGACTTATATCGTCGGGTGACGGTGTGTTTATTTTCTATTTCTATATTGAGGTGGAGATCGTTGGCATTTTTTTCCTATTTCCATATTCTGGTTCCGTATTTCACGGGATGGAGGAAACCAAGATGGACCCAATCTGAGTGTCGGATAGCCACGCGCGGAAAGATGCGTTGGATGAAAGCCTTTCCTATTTTTTTTTATATATAAATGAGTACCAGATTGTTTAAATTAACCAGGTCACATTAGATGTTAAATAGATCAACAAGTTGAACTCATGCCAAATCTACATATGTCCCTCTGTCTATATATGTATATATAATATATGCATTTATACATATATTATTAGGAATATGTTAAAAGAAGAAAAAAGGGAGAAGAAAGACAAGTATACATATATTATAAGGATTACAAATATGTGTTATTAAAGAAAAAAGGAAAAGAAAGACAAAAATTAAAAAACTCACGCACGCAAGCACACGCCGGGCGGCACTGCGGGCTCCGATGATGGAGCGAGCTTTATGTATCGTTTTGATCTTCCGTATCGTAGACGTAGATGAACCCACATAGACAGGTCGGACGCACGCACCAAGACGTGTTGGATGAACTTTTGACGTTTTTTTAGGTGCAGAGAGATACTACTAGCAGTAATTACAAAATA